GCAAGAGAAAAAAAAAGGAAAAAGGATAAAAATAAGAAAGGAAGAAGTTAAATTATCCCTGTTTGCAGATTATATGATCTTATATTTAGAACATCCAAAAAGCTCCACCAGAAGACTGCTAGAGCTAATAAACAAATTCACCAAAGTAGCAACTTACAAAATCAACATACAAAAATCAATATCTTTCTTATATACCAATAATGAATCTCCTGAGAAATAAATCAAGAAAACAATCCCATTCACAACAGCCAAAAAAAATACCAAGGAATAAATCTACGAAGGAGGTGAAATACCTTTACAATGAAAATTATAGCACACTGAAGAAACAAATTGAAGACAACATAGGATATCCTTGTTCAAAGATAGGCAGAATATCATTAAAATAGTCATACTACCAAGCAATATACGAGCTCAATGCAATCATAAGAAAATCAAAAAGATCCCAAATAAAAAATATAATGATGCATTTCAAGACCCTAGAAAAACAAGAGCAAACCAATTAATTCCAAAACAAATAGAAGAAAGAAAATAATTAGGCAAAATAGATAAAATAGGATCAATATGTACTGGTACATATTAGAAGTACATATTAGAAGACTTGGAGAAAAATCCCAGGAACACAGTCATCTGATACAATACTAAGGAGCCAAAAACATACACTGGAGAAAAAACAGCCTTTTTAACACATGGTGCTAGAAAAAAATGGTTATCCATATGTAGAAGAATGAGTCTATTTCCTTATCTCTCACTCTGCACAAAAGCCAATTCAAAATGAATCAAGAGCTAGGAATTAGCCCAGAAACTATGTAATTCCTAGAAGAAAATGTAAGATTAATACTCAACACATAGGCATAAGCAATAATTTTCTCAAGAGGAATACTAAGGTTCAAGAAACAATGCCAAGAATTAATAAATGGGATGGCATCAAATTTAAAAGCTCCTTCAGAGTAAAAGAAACAATTAAGAATGGGAGAAAAATGCTAACTGTTCTTCTGACAGAGGATTAATATCCAGAATATATAAAGAACTCAAAAAACTGAACACCAAAATAAATAAATAAATAAACAAACAAACAAACAAACTGATAAGTAAATGGGAAATAAACTAAACAGATACTTCTCAAAAGAAGAAATTCAAATGGCCAATAAATACATGAAAAAAATATTCAACAGCAATAGAAAGTAGGGAAATACAAATCAAAACTACACTGAGTTTTCAACTCACACCAATCAGAACGGCAGCCATCAAGAATACAAACAATAATAAATGCTGAAGAGGATGTGAAGAAAAAAGGAACACTGTTGGTAGAATTGTAAATTAGTACAACTACAGCAAAAATCAAGTTCTCAAAACACTGGGCATGGGACCACCATATGACCCAACTATATCACTAGATCAGAATATGGAACAGAACATGAACATTAGGAAGAAAGGTGGTAAATTTCAAATACAGCCTGAAGTTTAGTTAGTAGTACTCTAAAAATGTTAATTGTCTTAGTTGATAATTGGTTTAGTTATTAACATTAGAGGAAGTTTGGTAAAACATATACATGAACTCTCTATATTATTTTTGCAAGTTTTCTATAAGTTTAAAATAATTCTAAAATAAAAAGATTTTTGTAAAAAGTTGTCCAACAATTACCTCTAGCAGAAGTGAACTCCAAATACAGAGTTGAATTGTTTTCATATTTCAAGGGATGTACCTATGGTATATATTTACTGTTCCAGAGCATTTAAAATGAGAACATGTCCAAATTAGTTCTATAAAGTTAATGCAAACCTCACATTCAAATCTAGCAATATCATCTTAAGGAAGAAAACTACTATCTAACCTCACCCATGAATACAAATTCAAAATCCAAATAAAATACTAAAACCTTAAATACATCTCAAAATACCATCATAATGCAGTACACTTACTTCTAAGAATGTTATGATAGCTTACTATTATGAAATTTACTAAAAATATGGGGCAAAAGCATTTGATAAAATCAACATTCAACTCTTATTTTTAAAATCACAAGTCATATACTTTTTAAAAATATATTTATTTTTTAGTTGTAGTTAGACACAATACCTTTATTTTATTTATTTTTATGTGGGGCTGAGATCGAACCCAGGGCCTTGCACGTGCCAGGCAAGCGCTCCACTGCTGAGCCACAACCTCAGCCCACAATTCACATACTTTAAAGTATAAAAGAATGCTTTAACATCTACTTCAAGATAAGAGGTCAGAAACTTAAGTATCACCACTGTTATATAATATCACTTTTTAGGATCTTGCCAATGTAATAAGAATAAGAAAAAAGATGTTCAACTATTAAAAGAGGAAATGCTGCTACTGTAATGTGATAATGACACAGAAGCAATTAGAACACAGGATTCATTAAGTGGAATTCTTAAAAAATTAATAAGAACTCATAGGTTTTTCTATATAACTATAGTACAAAATGTAACAGAAAAGATCATGATTATAAGAACAACCAAAACCATAAATACCCAAAAATAAACTCAACAAAAGTGTCACAGAGGGAAACATGTTTCAAAATAACTAAGAGTAAGTTTCAAAAGTATCACCATAAAAATAACATAATGTGACAAATGTTAATTCATTTGATTTAAATTAATATTTTTTTTAAAGATTAAAAGGTGGTAGTTGAACCACAGTGTCAATGTAGTAAGAGTCACAAAACTGTTCACATTAAAGTGATTAACTTTATATTATTAAAATTTAAAATTGTTTAAAATATTTATGTTGAAAAAAGAAAATTGCATATCTTTGCTTATGAATATAATAAGAAATTCAAATAAATAAAATAATTTGAAAGAAAGATTATACAATGTTGACAAGAATAATAAAAACAGATAATCTCATACTTCTGTATGCAAAAGTATAAACTGGTAAACCTCATCACAGGACAACTTAGCAATACTTGTCAAAACTTAAATACACATAACTTTTGAGTCAGCAATTTTTCTATAAATTTCTCTTACAGAAAATATATATACATAAATATGTGAGTGAATGTATGTGTGCACACAAAGTACTCAATGTGGAACAGTTCTCAACAACAAAAAGCTAGAAACAACATAAATACTGAAAAATAAGAAACTGATTAAAGAAAGCATGTCAATATTATAAAATACTATGTAGCCATACTGTTAGTGATATAATCATTTTATTAAAAAATATTTTATAAAATAAATGTATATGTATATGTGTGTGTTTATAAAGCAGCATGTGCATACTTCTAAAAATTACAATGTACTTTTATCTAAGTGGTATAATTATAACTATGTCTTCTTCCCTGTGTTTTTCCTATGTTTTCCAAATTTTCTACAATATTTATGTATTACAATTAGTAGGGAAAAATAATACAGTCTTATCTGTAGTTGAAAGGAACTCCAGCATCATGTTGCATTAAGTATTAAATGCACAATGTATGTGAATGTGCATTGTAAATGCACTTCTTCATATATAATGTGCACCCATATGCATTAATATGCATTGCCTCTAAATTCTATATTTGCCAGTGGCCACCTTGCAAAACTTAGAATAAATGCTTTTCATTTTCATCAGCTTCAACCACAGTGTCAAAAAACTCAAAGCTAGGACTGTAGCTCAGTGGAAGAGTGCTTGCCTTCCACGTGTGAGGCACTGGGTTCCATCCTCAGCACCACTAAAAATAAATAAAAATATTGTGTCTATCTACAACTAAAAAAAAATTAAAAACTCAAAGCTGCAACCAATAATGTAAAGACATTCTGATGTTAGGTCAAGAATTGAAAGCAACACTCCATTTTTGGAAAGAAGAAAGGAAAAGATCATCCTGGCAGGCATGAGGGCAAGATAGCAAGTTGATCTTGCAAGCCTTAAATCTCCTGTTTTATCCATGGCAGAAAACAGTGTCTACTTTTGTTTCATCGACTTTTCTTTATCCCCATGAGAAATATGTTATAGTATCTATATACACACAATGGTCTATTGCTTAAGTAAGCCAGGACAGCAAGGCAGGAAACTAGGGTATATGTTTTAAAGTTTAGATCCTTGTCTAATCACATATCATCAGCAAGAATTCAAAAGTGGAGCTCAATATAAACATGCCATATGTGGGATCTGCACACTTACTATTCCCCCAGAACTTCTCAGCTTTGAGCAGCCAGTGTTCAGACTTGAGAAAATACTTGGTAGCCTTCATATCTATTTCCGAGAGCCTTACCACATCTGGGGGGTGGGAGGGAACGGAAAATGTACTTGTGATCATGGGTGTAAACAGCCTTCATCACAGGGACCCTGGGAACTGCCCAGATCCATTATAAGGAATTAAATGTTTTCAAATCTCTATGTTGATGGCTCCCAAAATTCCACATAGGAGAGGTTTAAAGTATAGTAACTTGGAAGAAAGAGGGACTTGGAGCAGTGGCTTTCACATTTTTACTTCAGTGTTCAGTAATTGTTACTTTCTCATTGTGACCTTTTACAAGCATATGTGAACTGTGCATAAATATAAGCACACACATTTACAGTACTAAAATAAGAGTTTTATGAAGCAATACATACACTGTGTGATACACCTTGTTCTATTCTATTATGTTATGTTCCAATGCATTCATTCAATTTAAACTTCTACCCAAATTTCATTAAAATTATTCTGTTAGTCCATCACCACAGCAGCAACCTGCAATTGGAAAAGTATTGGGCAATGGGTGTTTGGGGCTGCATTTATGATCATTTGGAGTCTGAGATAGAGCTATGCTAACCCCCTGACACCACAGGTACACTGTTTAATTTTGCTCTCATTGAATTCTTTAAGAAGAAAAGCTTGAGAATTTATGATATGTTATAGAAGTGTTCCAAATCACAAATTTCCAAAATCATATTTACAGAAATCACTTCTATGGGTATAACTCAAATGTCTGACTTTTCCTTCCAATCCCTCTTTGACACCTTGGCATAGTAACATTATTGGCACTATGGGGGAAGCTGGAAGTGGAGTTACCATAGGAAGAACTGTTGAAGAGTTCAATGTTGAAGAAAGCGTAGTCTCCACTGGTCATGCCATGTCTGTGTGCTGCCAGCATGATACTCCGGATGGTGTCACCGCTCGCACACATGATCACCACTGGGGAGAGAAACAAACAACAAATGTGAGACACCCAACACAGCAGACAGTAAGCATGCAAAACCAGTCTGGAGTGCTGGACATGGGACAGGGTAGTTAAAGGGTCCTGAAGCATCTCTCACATAAGGTACTTTCTACAGTAGTTCCCTTTCTCTGCAGGAGAAATGTTCCAAGGACCCACCAGATGCCTGGAACTGTGGATGATGCCTATCCCTATATATACCATATTTCTTCCTATAAGAAAATACCTATGATAGAGCTTAATTTGTAAAGTAGGCAGAGTAAGAGACCAACAACAACAACTAATAATAAAATAGAACAATTATAATAATATACTATAACAAAAGTGTTTAAAAACCCCTTGAATTGTTTATTTTTAGAATTTTTCATTTAATATTTGCAGATCACAATTCAATACAGGTAACTGAAACCTCAGCAAAACCACAGATAAAGAGGAGACTACTATATTCACAAAGAGGAAAATGGTAACTTTATGGAAATTAATAAAAAATCACTGAAAGAAATTATAAGGAGGAATGCTTCTTTATATTTTCTCAATATTTGTACCTTCAAATTAAAGGAACAATAAATCATTTAAACTATTTCACTTAATATTTATCCCTTTGACGCTAACACTGTTATAGAAAATAGTGTAATATTTGTTGAATTAAAATGTATCCATTTATGCATGCCCAGCTCCTATAATAAATACTTGATAAACTTTTATAGGTAAATAAATGAAATTTTTCTAAATCAAAGATTTGCAATCATAATCTTTAGTGTTTTCTAGTCTTCCCATAAACTAAGGTTGTATTTAAAAATCAAAAACATAGTAACTTTATTGAGGGAGATCTAGCAGAAACCACCATAAACAAGTGAGACAACATCACCAACTGAGGAAAAGAAGGCTCACCAGCCTCCTGACAGAACACAGCCAGTAGGCAACCGGCACCTTGTCAAGAGGAAGTAGCCGCAAACCCAGCTGGGGACAGACTGTGGAATAACTCACATGGGCTCTTTAAAATGGTCAACTTCATGAAAAACAAAGACAGGTTGAGGACACATTCTAGACTGGAAGAGACTTAGAAAATGAAAGAACGAAAAATGCCCTTTATTGAGGAACAGCTCTGCATATTTATAGAGCCAGGGGTGGTTTGACAGTTATGACAGTTTAATGGTTGAACAGTTTGACAGTTGGCATGGGGTGCTTTCTGATTGGTAGGTAACGATCATGTGAGTCAGCAGGGCTAGTCTGATTGGTGGGTAAGGATCATGTGAGTCAGCAGGGCTAGTCTGATTGGTGGATAAGGATCATGCGAGCCAGCAGAGCTAGTCTGATTGGTGGGTAAGGATCATGTGAGCCAACAGGGCTCACCATTGGACGGCTCTTCTCGGGGGATGAGGAACTCAGTCTTTGGAGCTGGGCAACTCCCAACATAAAACATGGCAATGTATGATACTTAATTGGACTCTGGACCTTAAGTATATATATGTAAAAAGGGGAGGGGGGGCATTGTTTAAACAGCTGGTGAAATTTGACTAACTCCTGTGAACTAGATAATAGAACTGCATTATCACTTTTCATGACTCCTCCTTATTCTTAGGAAACATACCCTTAAATATTTAGGAGTAAAGAAACAATGATGGAGTTGGGGATGTAGCTCAGTGGCAAAGTGCCTGGCATGCACAAAGCCCTGAGTTCAGTCCTTGGCCCTGGGGGAAAAATCAAAAGAAACAATGATTGTGGGCTGGGGATTTAACTCAGCAGCAGGGCACTTCCCTAGCAAGTGTGAGGACCTGAATTCTATCCCCAGTACTGGAAAGCAGAGGAGAAGGAG